AGAACAAGCTCTACATCTATAACTCAAATATGTATTGATTTTATATGCTTTATATCATTTCAGCATCCTAGCATTCACCTTCTGTATTCCTAACATCACTTTCTGTATCCCTAACATTACTTTTTGTGTCACTCATCACCTTACTTTCCGATTGCACTTTAAACACCACTGATCAAATCAATCCACGCAATCAGCAGACCAATCAGTCTTACAGCCACTTGCAGTGTTGCAAAGTGCTATGCTGGATTTTCATTCCCGCTTGCCAGGGCCGGAAGCCTGGGACTCCCAACCAGGACCTGGGCGGCAATGATCCAACTTGATCAAATTCAGGGCGTTGCGTTGCAGTTATTTTTTCAAGACATGAATTCGGCCAGGACAACTTCTTTGTTGCTGAATATCGCCACTATCTTCTTCTTTGTATTGCAGATGGTCATGGCCTGGGGCATAGTCGATTAGTTTGTATCATTTTGCTTGCCCAATGAGCCCATTGGCATGCAAATCAAGATGGATGTTCTTTCGGGAACTTTTCCAGGCGCCCGGTTCAGACTTGATGGGAGATAGGTGAGCTTCTTTCAACGAAGGCGAAAAGAGGAGCCTGGAGTGTGAAACACCACAGTCAAACCAAAGAACCGAGCAAAGGTGGAGCTGGTCATTGGGTGTCGCACTGGACCTGCAAGTTTGTTTTGAGGCCGGGCTTGTGCTGCAACTTGATGGGATGCTGCTACAACTTGATGGGTTGCTGCCCCCCAATATTTGTTAACAAGTAGACAGCTGTTCGTCAAACACAGTTGCATATTTTTGGAGCGAGCTTGCCAAGGTTGGTTGTCATGGTAATGCCGTTGCACACGGAACACTTTCTTACTGCCAATTGGGAAGCTCAGCTTGCTTGAGGCTGCTCTCGGAGCACATGGTGGGGGCCAAAGGTTTGCCCTCCGCAGATGTGATTCGGGAGTGTTTTGGCCGCATTTTGCGTGCTCGATGCCTTTGCGGTGCATGTGTCCCTTTCAGTTGGGAGCGAAGCGACCCAGGATCTTTGAGACTGCGCATCAGGTGGGGCTTGGGCTGAGCAGAAGCTTGCGGCAAGTGCAGCTCGCAGGAACTGATTTGCGCTGCTGAGTCTCAGAAGTTTGAAGTTGCGCCGAAGACTCAGAAGGAGAACAGAACAGAACAGGATGGTCGAAGAGACCGAAGCATTTCATTTTGGGTGGAGGTTGAGCGGCACAACGCTGTCAGCGGGGTCCTCAGTCCGTACCTGACAGTATGCGTCGTGAACAGCGACGTCAGCATTTTGGGTAGTGACAGGACAAGGTCACAACACTTACATTTGTCTGTGGCTCACATGGGATGTACAGGCGGTTCGATCCAATTCTTCCAAAGCAAGAGTACGGCGGGCAAATGCGGGGATTTGGTGCTTCAAGACCGGCAGGTCGCGATTGTGGACCGAGAGAAGAAGAAGCTCATGCTTGCCTGGGCCAGTGCCCGAAGGCAGAGTGGGAGCCACGTCTCTGTGAGAGTTTGAGGCTGGCGACTCCCGCTGCGTGCTGGGCCGGCCTGTGAGAAGAGCAACTCGATCTGGAATTGATATGGAAGCTGGCAGGCGAACAGATGCGCTTGGGGCGTTTGGGATGGCAGTGTCGTTGAGTGTGGGTTGACACGATTTCTAAGGTTATGGGCCGTTTCGCATCTGCACCTTGGAGAAGTTACAAGCTTTGTGGTTGAACCGGTTACCTTCAATTTGTGCTCAAGTCGCCTGCTTGGTTCCTGTTTGATTGCTACACGTGGTGGATGTTCACCGGCCAAGGGCAAAGCGGAGTGCGTGATTTGGCTGCAACTATACTTACAGTTGTGGGAAAGTAGATGGCACCATTCTCTCATTCACCCTGTTGTACCAATGATCACTTGTGTGCTATCATGTGTGAGGCGGCGTACAATTTGGAAGGTAAAGAAATCCAAACTCGTGTCTGTGTGTGTGTCGGCACAAGAGAAAGTTGCCCTTTTGTTTTCCCTGGCTTACTCATAGCAAGCCCCTGTATCGCTAGCCAACAGGTTGGTGCATCTACGGACCACAAGCCGCAGGACCCGGAGGACAGGATTTCGAGCCTAGTCTTATAAGTCTTAGACTGGCTTTCGACAGTACCCTTCTTCTGTAGATAGCCTGTTCTCACAGGAGCGCGCCCGGGTGGAGTCATGTGGCGGAGAGGTCTTGCTGCTGCCGGGAGAGCCTTCGGCAAGCCAATGGTGGACGGGTGCAAGGCTTGAAAGTTGCAGAGATCCCCGCGCAAAAGCAACTGAGTTGCCAGCTGTTGATCCACTTGTTGGAACCTTGTGTAAAAGACACTACGTGCCGCGTCCCTGGCTACAGATCCAAACACCCTGACCTGTGCTGAGGACGTGCCTCACAGGGTATTTGCCAAAGGCAAAGAGATCCCTGGCCTTGCAATGTCTCGATCTGTCGGTGACCTTGCTGGGCATGCGGCTGGAGTCATCCACGAGTCTGGCCTCCCAGCAAATAGGTGTAGGTAGTTGTGATCACCTGGTTTGCGCTGCACCTGAAAGAGCGTAGGCCCGGAATTGAGATCCTGGACTTTCAGAAGGAGGACATTCTCCTGTGCTGCTCTGATGGAGTCTGGGAGTTTCTCACCAACGTGGATGCCCTGAACATAATTGCTCAGGCGTGCACACACACACACACAGACAGCAAAACTGGCAAAGAAGGCATGCATGATTTCGATCATTTATCATGCCATTCAGAACTGCATGAGTTTCAGGCTGGGCGAAAACGTTCTGCGGAAGCTGTTCAGATGCTCGAATCACAACTTTACGGCACGGCTCCCACAGAAGTGCAGGTCAGCGGGCACAAAATGCAAGAGGTATGAGAGTGGACAAACATATGTCGATATGAAGTGACGAATTCGTTTTGCTAGTTCTTTTGAATGAATATGGATGTATCATTTGGAGAGCTTAGCTCATCTCTCTCACCAAGGAAGCTTTCCACCGAGTCGCGGAAGCAGTGGTTGGCGGAGGCAGTGCCTGGCCTGCAAGCGAGTCAGAGTCGGAAGGCATCCAGGTAGATTTTCATCCTTTGAAAGCTGAGGAAGACTGCTGCGATGACATCTCCATCATTGCCGTGTGGCTTTGATGCCGGCATTATGTGTTGCGACTTGTTTGCACCGGGACTCGCGTGGCAGGGCATTTGGAAGGTCTGCGTGCAGACTTAGCTCTTAGGCTCCTTCGACCTGTGAGCTGGTGACAGCTTGTGATTGGAGTGGAGTGCATGACATTGACGCTGGGTTCTCGACACTTCCGCAAGTTTCCCTTTTCGTTTGCGACTTGGGGCAAAGAATTCTGACAGATGTCATGCCAGGTGCCGCGTAAGTTTCATGGAGTCCTTGGGCAAAGTGTCAAATGCACGGGCTCCCCAAAGCCAATCGGTCGAAGCAAAGAGGCTGGTTTCGCTGCGGCACAAAAGGCTGCTCTTAGCTGGACCGTTGGCCGATGGACTGAGACGTTAGACTGCATAAGTGGGGGCACCTACAGCCCTAAAAAGAAACCATCCATCGAGACATGCAAAGGTTGACATCAACAGCGAGTATTCAAAGGAGGGCCATGTTTTTTTTTGTTTGTCAGGGTGGGTGGCTTTTCGGCTTTTTGGCTTTTGTGGCTTTTACGTGGGTTTTTGTGGCTTTGTGGCTTTTCATTTCGCATCCTCTGCATTCACAGTTCCTCTCTTTTCGCATCCTCTGCATTGCCAGCTCCGCTGCGGCAGGTGGCTTTTTGGCTTTGTGGCTTTTGGCGGCTTTCTGGCTTTGGCTTTTCGCATCCTCTGCTTTCCCAGTTGGTTTTTGGCCTTGGCTTCCTGCATCCTCAGCATCGCCGAATTGAATCATCACTTCTTTGATCATCATGCGACAGCTACTAGAAAGATTCTTTGCCCCTAATTTTTCGATCATCACGGGGGCCCCCCCCAACCGCCCCCCAAACCCCCCCCCCCCCCCGCTGCGTGAAAATATTTTTTTGGATCACTTTTTCAATCATCATGGGGGGGGGCTGCCGCCCCCCCCCCCAACCCCCCCGCTATTTTTTAGACTTTTTTGCCCAACATTGAATCATCACTTTTTCGATCATCATGGGGGGGCTGCTGCCCCCCCCAACCTCCCCGCGCCTTTAATTGAATCATCGCTTTTGGGATTTTGGGCAGAGATTAAAAAGCATCCCTAATTGAATCATCACTTTTTCAATCATCATGGGGGGGGGCTGCCGCCCCCCCCAACCCCCCCGCTACGTTTTAGGTGTTTTACAGGGATTAGTTTGCCCGTATTTGAATCCTCACAGAACGGCCATGAGGCCTTGCCGCAGAGGAACTGATGATGCTGAAGATGCAGGAAGCCAAGGCCCTCGATTTGCTGGTGATGCTGGGATGTTGGCTGGGATGTTGGCTGGACATGCGGGGGATGTTGAAAACGATGCTGATGATGTTGACTTGACGGACTAGCGTAAAATACGTACATATTTTTTTAGTAGCCAGGACGGAAAACCCAAAAATAAAACCAAAAGAAACCAAATTAAATCTCGACCCGTATTCAAACCAAACCAGCCAACAGAGGGTTTGTCGTTAGAGGAAGCCAGCACGAAGCCAACTGTTTGGAAGGCTTCCCCATTGTGAGACCGCCAGCATGCTTTTGGTAGGGATGAAGGGTGATCATCGGCAACATGCAGCTGCCTGGAGAGCTCAAAGTGGATTTGCTTTTGCCTTCAATGAATCTTGTGCATAAAATTGCGCTTTTGAGTCGGATCTGCGCCATTTTGTTCTAACTCTCCCCACACCCACTTTTTGACATCGGTGCTCAGTTTGGCCCAGTTGGGTTGGGTCATGCAAGATTGATGGCTATCTACGACAGTTTTGGCATGTCGCAGCACAATGCGAAGGGGGTGTGGAAGCTCATGCAAGATTTCTTCCATCAGTACGGCTCCCAGCCACGCGTGCACAGTTCGCTTGCCAGGCCGCCGCGACAGGCCAAAGGGGGAGCAGGGTGTAGCGTTGGCCGAGACCGTGACGCATGGGGTGCGTGAGAGAAACCGGCCTTGCAAGAAGGAATCTGAGAGGACCGCACGGGAAGAAACAGTTCTGCGTTTCTCAATTTGGCTCCAAACTGTAAGCTTCTGGGTTTTTTCCCAAAAGCATCGCGAAGGGTTTTTCCGCGCGGAGCTCTTGGACCAACTTGCATAGAGTCACTGGCGTCAAACACATGAGCCGAGTGCATAGAGCCGAGTGCATAGAGCCAAGTGCGTGGAGCCAAGTGCATAGAGCCGTGCGTAGAGCCAAGCGCACAGAGCCAAGCGCATAGAGCCAAGTGCAAAGAGCCAAGTGCATAGAGCCAAGTGCAGAGAGCCAAGCGCGTAGAGCCGAGTGCACAGAGCCGAGCGCATAGAGCCGAGTGCGTAGAGCCAAGCGCACAGAGCCGAGTGCATAGAGCCGAGTGCATAGAGCTAAGTGCATAGAGGCAAGTGCATAGAGCCAAGTGCATAGAGCCAAGTGCAGAGAGCCAAGCGCGTAGAGCCGAGTGCACAGAGCCGAGCGCATAGAGCCAAGTGCGTTGAGCCAAGCGCACAGAGCCGAGTGCATAGAGCCGAGTGCATAGAGCTAAGTGCATAGAGCCAAGTGCATAGAGCTCGGCGTTAGCAGCTATGTAAGTTAAGTTTAGGTGTCTAGGGCGCCGGGGCAGACTTTGATCGTCGATCGGGATTGCGACCCTCTGCGGGGATCGGCGTGGTCGAGGTGCAAAAACTCGAGGTTTTTTGCGATTCTTGATCTGCCCGCGCGACCCTCTGCGGGGATCGGCGTGGTCGAGGTGCAAAAAGGTTTTTTGATTCTTGCGGTGCCCGCGCGACCCTCTTCGGGGATCGGCGTGGTCGAGGTGCAAAAGCTCATTTTTGTTTTGCGTTTTTGCGGTGCGCGGATGAACCCTCTGCGGGGATCGTGCGTGTCGACGCGCTCTGGCTGTGGCGCCGTGCGAATTCGTTTTTGTCTCGGTGGACCCTCTGCGGAGATCGTGCGTGTCGAAGCGCTCTCGCTGTGCGATTTAATTACTTGTGAAATTGCCTTTGGAAGTGGTCTGCGCGCCTGCTTTTGCAATCGCGCGGTCGCGGGTTCGATTCCCCCCTGGTCCGCGGCATCTCCGGCTCAATCAAAGAAGCCCTATTATGTGGAATGTACCGACCGGAGAATCGCAACCCTGAAGCGCAGACGTATAGTGCGCGGAGCACCTCCACAGCTCAGCTCAGGCTGAGCATCTTGCTCGCAGATACAAGCGCCGAGCGTCGTGCGGAGAGAAACTTGCACAGAGCAACGTGCACAGAACAGCTTGAAGACAGATGTCGAGCCACTTGCGTGCAGCGGCTTTCAGAGAGCAACTTGCGCGCAGCAGCCTGGAACAATGCAGCTTGCGCAGACACTGCCATGTTTCCTCTCGTAGGACGATGAGATGGAGCTCTCAATTGACCATACACATTGAGCATCGCCGCGCGCAGACACGCTCGACGCGTCGATGTAAAATGGTGTCTCCGCGGCTGGAAGAGCGCTCGGGGAAAAATGCTTTCGGGCCAATTGTCCTCTAGTTTTCATCTTTCATGCCTTGAGGGCCTCCAGGGCCTCAAGGGCCTCAAGGGGAGTGAGCGCTTGCAGCTGCTGGAGACTGACTTCGCAGTTGCGTACGCCTTAGTCCCTTGTGGCGGCTGTGTCTGAGATAGACTTGAAAATGCGTCAAAGTCCAGAACTTTGACAGCATGATGGGATATTGTCCCGGGTTGGCTGCCAGTGCTTGACATTGTGCATGGATCCAGTCCAAGTCCACAAGTGTTGTGCTCAAGGCGGATCCACTGGACGCGTCAGATGGCGAGGCGGGCTTGAGTCAGAAATCGCGTTTCTTGCTGGGGGCTGTTAGCCTTGGAATTTCCCGCCCCTTCAATTGATGCCACACCTCAGGGTGCGGGGACTTGAGCAGGCAGAGAAGCGGAAACGCCGGCAAGGCGCAGAGTTGCAAACTCAGTCTGTGTTGCAGCAATTTTCTTTTATTCTTTCTTTTTCTCTCCCTCTCTCTCACTCACTCTCTCTCTCTCTTCCTGTTCTCGGGCTAAAGCTTAGCCCTCTGATTCTTCGCCCAACACCTTTTTGCACTGAGGTCGCAAGCGCTCATTGTCATGGCGCCCAGATGGGGACCAGGTATGACTAGGTCTTCCACATTCGGAGAAGGTTAGCGCGGAATGGCATTCGCGATTGCTTTCCGGAAGGTAATCAGCATGGCTGTGACAATTTGGGTTTCCATGTGACTTGGACAATTCTTGTGCACAACCCAGCCCAGGGGCCCAAGCGCAGAAGATTTCTCTTCCAGGACCGGCCTGGACAGTGTGACTCAGTCCGTGACACGGAAGCTTTGTCCCAGGAACTGGCTTCACGCGTGGGGGACACAGACTTCACTTTGGGGCAGCTTAAACGTTTGCGTCGGGACCAAGATCGGCGGACGCACGCGTTTCGGGTTTTGGGGGGGGAGTCGGGATCGTGGCGGTTTCTTGCGGTTTTGATCATTTCATGATCGCTGAAGTCCAATGGCGACATGGGACCGTGGCACCTGCCGCTGGCAGGCTGCTGCAAAGATTTCACTTTCACACGAGCTGTCTATTGAATGACGAAAAGGCTGATGTTCTTGCTGCTTCCCGCAAATTGGGACCAGGATCGGTGGCTGCGGTCCAGTTCCCTTTCCTCTCAACATTGCAATGCCATTTCTAGAGAAGAATGGTCCCGGGTTTGGGGTTAGTTTGGGGTGGTTTTGGGTTGGCTTAGGGTTGGATTAGGGCTGGTTTAGAGTTGGGGCAGGGTTGATTCAGCTTGGTATACGTGGGGTCCAGGATTGATTCAGGGTTGGTTTGGGGGTCGGATTGCTCGGGTTGCGAGACTGCCGGGCTCGGGCTGCGGGTTGCGTAGCGGTTTAGGGGTCGGGGGAGGGCCCTGGGCCCTGGGAGAGGGCCCTCGGGGGAACCATGCCATGCGGGGTCTGGGGGTGGGAACACGGGGCACCGTACCAAAAACATAGCCGACATAGCCGACATAGCCGACATAGCCGACATAGCCCATGCACCCAGGCAGAGGAGGGCCCGAACTTCTTCACCTGCGAGGCCAATGACACCTTCAGATTGGCCGGGTGCCATGAGACTGATGAGACTGGGTGACGTTGAGGATTGGCACAAAGCGCCGGCTACCTGCTGCCTGGGCTCAAGCCGCCCAACCCCCTTTGGGTGGGAGCAGGGCCATGGCAATAGAGGCAGGGCAAGACTCAAGCTTCTGGCCGTCGTGTGGCATGTATGCCCGCTTTTTTTTCTTCTGCAATCCATGGGGCAGAAAACTGGGCAGACTGAGGAGACAGCGGCTGAGTGGATAGCTCGGCCGAGCATTGCATCAAGAATGATCGTTGAAGCTGGAAATCCCGTTTGCTCTCATTTGTATCCATCCCAGGCCACCCAAGAAGAAGGCCAAAAAGATTAAGGTTGAGGTCAAAGGCTTGGCGAGCGGTTTCGGAAAGCCTTATACAGCTACATGTCTTCAAGCAAACAGCAGAGATGCTGTGCGGAATTCATTTCCAAGTGCTCGTTGCAAGCTCGCCAGATGATCGTCAGATCCAGTTCCGAAATTATGTTCCGCGGACGTGTTGCCCTCAGATGAAGTGTTGGCAGCGACGATCAATTTTGAAGGTGACCTTCTGCGGAGCAGGATTTTGCTACCGGATTTGTTTGTGTGCTTTTCTTGAGGCCAGAACTCCGGGATTTTTGTCTCACGAGGAGTGGCATAGTTGGTGCTCTCCCTGCCTCTCTGAAGCTTGCAATGGTAGATTGACCTTGCCCAGGATCACCTCCGCCGATATTGAGGCGGATCCTGTGACTTCCCACTGATTTGTTTTTTTCTTCTTTTTTCAAGTTGCCTCTTCCAGGGTCAGCCTTGCTGCACCCTCCATGCGCGGCGCAAGAGGCAGAGATTGACAAAGAGATCCAGGAGGCGATTGCCGCTGCTGAGGCCTTGCTCGCTTGCCCGTACGGAGCGCAGATGTGGTGACTGGATCCGTTTTGAGGATACAGACGCCGTGCTCGCGATCGCGCCACGGAAGCCCAACTGGGCTCGCACCTTGGGGGGGTTTTGTTTGTCCCGGGTTTGAGCTTGGTCCACTGAGGACTTAAAGCGGGACGTGGAGCGCAAAATGCAAACCCTGGCAGCTCGAACGGATCGTGCTGCGCCCCGGCTGCAGAGAACCCTGCATGACCAAATTTTGTGCATGATGAATGACTCTATGAGAAATACGGCTCCCAAGTGGCAAATCACTAGACACGCATGACAAGAGAAATCACAAGCTTCCAGTTTCTTCCTCACTATGATGTGCCACACTTTCAACACTAGTTCATCTCTTACGTTGTTAGTGGGGACGCAGAGAAGAGGTGCAACCATTTTGAAGCTGGGAGTCTTCAGGTCATGCATGAGCCAAGATTCCACACGTCACAAAACAATCTGCGAAGCACGGAAGCGACCGTTTGCAAACAGCTCTTCAAAGCTTTTGCTTGGCCGTGTTGTGTTTGTTGCAGGATGCTTGATCCTGTACCTTAAATTCAACTGCTGGTTCTGTTTTTTGGTTTACACGAGTGGAATGAGTTTCAGACAACCAGGTAGAGTGGCGCTAATCATAATTCTCGTAGTCCGATTCAATGTCCCATTGACGGCACCGCAAAGGGCAATCAACCCGAAGCAGTGTTGGATTGATTAGTTGTTCGATGTGCGTCGAGCTTGGCGAGAGAGTGACGTGACACACATGTTGGTGGGCTGCATAAGTAATTCTGCCCGAGGGAGATGTAAGTCTCCGCACGCAACGGCAGTCCTGCAACCTTTTTTATTCGTTTGGGAGTCTCAGCGGGGTGTGGTTACGTAAAGTGCGGCCGCATGCAGTCTGTGATACACAACCTTGGACACAACCTTTGACAAGTCTAGGCTAGGTTCCTGACTTTTTGCAAATCTGTGTTCAGCCTTGGCAATTTCTTGCGTGAAGTCGTCGTTCCGCTACAACTCTGTGCCTTGAGTGAGCTGCCGCCCTGATATCTCGCGGCCAGGTCGTTCAGCTAATTCGTCTTCGCATCAAGAAGGACCGGCTGGGGAATGATGCTATGGCGCCTGACCAATGCGAGTTTGGAGGATGAAGGCGGCGAAGCCAATCCAGATGGGAAGTAAATGTGAGGCTGGATGCCTTGCAACCTTTGGTTTCCGCCTACCATGTTGCATGCTTGCAGAGTAAGAGCAAGCTGGAATGTAGAACCTCAAATGCTTCGTCTTGCTTTGGTGCAAGCCGATGTGGCGCTTGCGACCAGGCTTCATGCGCTGAGCTCATGCGCGCGTCCTGAAGCCGTGCGAGGAAGAAAAAAACAGCTTCAGAGAGACACATTCGCCTTGTGAAGCCGGCTGAGAGAGTTAAGCCTTGATTGAACCTTGATGTTAAGGTTGTATGGACAGAACCTACTTGCGGGCTTGCGAGGCGACTGCATCTACTTTGCCGAGACGCTTCTTTTGCCCGAGCTGTCTCAAACTGGCAAGGCTCGGTTCTTGGGTGGGCACAGACATGTTTTGGTCGACGGTTCTGGATGGATCTTGTGCTAAGTGGAGGCCGTTTTTGGAGGGCACCCGTGTCAGGTTTTTTGAAAGGGAAACCAAGAGGAAAGGCTGTTTTGATGCATCCCCATTTGTGAGGTACAAGTGTCCTCAATGCTGCGGTGCCTTCTGCAGTCTCGGCTGCCAAAAGCTGCACAAAGAGGCCACAGCTGGCATGCCACGCGACTGGGAAGTTCGAAAGCAGCATTGCTTGTGGGCGAGGTGCTTTGCAGATGAAGGCAGAGCTCGGCCTGCAGCCAGATGCCAATGTAGAAAAGGACCATCCCCATGTGAGGTCGTGGTGTGACCCATATGCAAGCCCATATTCCCAGCATGTTTGCATGCCATGCTCAAAATGGCCAGAATCCAAGGCAGGCATAACAGAGCGTCCCGAAATCAGCATTGAGCCTTGATGGTATGCCACATTCGGCAAACCTCAGGCTGAGTGAGTTCAGATCCGCCTGGCCGGTTCCATTCAGCCACAGTGCTTGGAATTCGTGGCTCGCGCGTTTCCGCCGACACTGCTTGGAGCTTTGAAGAGCTGCTTGAAGCCTTGTGATGCCTGAGTGATGCCTGAGCATGGCTATTCTTGTTGTTTGCAAGCAGGCAGCTTGTCGGATGTACCTCCAGGTAGAGGTCTAAACGCCAGCCCCGCTCAGGTCTGTCAGCTCATGAGGCCTGGTGTGATGCATGTTTGAGCAATGTGTAATTGAGAAGTGCATGCATCCATCTGCAAACTGTCACTGTTTGCCATGTCTCTCAGCAGCTCCTTGTGCGCAGGCTAAAAGGGTCTCTGAGCGTGCGCAAGCAACATCGGTCGAGGCAGGCAGTGGATTTATAGCATGCAGAACGAAGAGAAGTAGCAATGATGTGCAATGCCTGAATTCTTGGTTTGCCCCTGGACCACGTGTTCAGGCTCCAAGTACTCGAGCAGTTGAAGGCCACAGCTGGGTCCCCTAGATTCCAACACACTGAAGTCGGAAGACTTTGTGGCCATAAGTGGGACATAAGGTCAAATGTCAGCAGACGCAGATGTCCGTCCTGTCTCGAAGGCACACGGGTGTCCCGTTCGGAAAATTGTGCTGGGCCGCGTCCGAAGCATCGCAGGCAGATGCAGCTTCGAGAAGAGGGCGAGGCATTGCGCGAGTGCCTGGAGGCCTGCGATTTGGAAGGGATCCTGCTTGGCCTGATGCACACCATGAGTGCTAGTACGGAAATGTGGTAATTCGGGATGATCAAATCCAAGGTTCCAAATTTATCGGTAGACCTGGGTTGAAGTCTGGCTTGGGGTAATCAAACAATGGAACCCTGGGTTCAAGGGGGACCCCATTTTGGGTCCCCACACCCAAATGGCGCGTAGTGTTGGGATCGTATCCGTCATTTTTTGTTCTGCATTTCGATGCCGTGAGGCATCGGGCGCACTGGCGCCGGTGCGCTTCCTGGCCAGCCTTCATCGCCGCCGCTTCGCGGAGGCGCGGCATGTTACTCCGAAGGCTCACCACGTCACTTCGGACTTCGGGTCCACTGTGCCTTATGCGCAGTGTCTCTCTCGGTTTTTCCCTCTTTTCCTTTATTTCTCTCTCGCTCTTTCTCTCTCTCTCGCTCTTTCTCTCTCTCTCTCTCGCTCTTTCTCTCTCTCTCTCTTTCTCTCTCTATCCTTTGCTTTTGCTCTGCTCTTGTACCAGTGCACGAGGTCATCAAGCGCCACCCTGGACCCTGGCCGGGGAGCCTCGATGCCGTGGTACAGATCCGTGCTCCTTGGCCTTGTGGCCTGATGTGCGTTCTGTTGCTTGTTCTTGGGCTCAGGAATTGGCCTTGGCCACTGCAGCTGGTGCTGGTGTATGGATCTCAGTGGAAGTTGAGATGGCATTGAGATCTCTGGCAGCAAGATGAGGCTGCTAGCGTGGCGCCTTTGGCGGCTGCATCCCGGGCGCTGCGCGGTGGGGTAGGCGTTCATTGCTGTTTGTTGGCCTTGGCTGCAATCATTTTCCTCCTGGTTTTTGTGTGAGATACCTTGCTGCAGCTCTGGTGCCTACGTTTGCACATGCCAGGCAGCATGCTTTCGGAGTTCCCAGCTCTCTTCCCTTCGCAGGCTGGACCACAACATGTTACTAATACAAATATGGGGCGGCCTTCTTCCATCAGAAGCCGCTGAAGCAGCCACCTTGATTCAATCGATATTGGTTGAGAGGTCTACGCCATTGGTGGTGCAGATGCTGGCGTCGCATGCTGAGCATCTTCGTTTCTTTCAGCCCGAAGCCACTCATTTGTTTCTTTCAGCAAGGAAACGCTGAGCTCGGTGGAAAAGTTTGACTCCAAGAGCTGTGCCTTCCTCTCAGCTTCAGGGAGCACATTTAATGTCCCCCAAGTTACGAACAACCAGATGCTTCATGGGCATGCGAAGTACAACGCTTTCAAAATAAGCACACCACCAATCATTGGCAAACACACGCACGTACGCAGAGATCAAATGTTAGCAAGAAGTCAACCATCGTGCGCTCGTGCAATCATTCGACGTTCATCTCCGCATTCTTTGGATAGCAGCTCCGCTTGGAGTTCCCTATTCTTGCGCCGTGTTCACGCGGCCCGCCCAAGAGCCAACATATCAGTCACTGGCGTAGGTGAGAGACCTGGCCATCTCTGAAATGGTGCTTCGTGGTGCCAAAAGCAAATTCAATTCAGTGCTCCAACATCCGCATCGAGCCACAAGTCTTCTCAGCAAACCTGGAGGGTGCTTCCTGCGGTGCCTGACAAATCCTCATTTTGACACATGATGGGCAAAGAAGAAACCTGGCAAAGAAGAAACCCGATGGCACGGCTGCCCAGCTGGTTTCGCAGTGCTGCGTTGGATGGCAGTTGTGCGTGCACTTGATCGTAAGCTATGACAAGCCAATCAAATAGGGATCGTGCCACTGCTGCACAAGTCTTGTGTACCGTGGTTTGTTCGCAGTGGTGATGACAGAAAAGCACAAACCTTCATATGCAGGCAGCACATGTTTTTCAAGGAAGCATGCCCTGCTGCATGTGCTACTTCCAGCGGCCGCACGTCTATGGCAAACACACTGCAACTGCCGCGCCCCAACGCCTTCAGGTGGAGCAAGATTCGAAGAGACTCGAGCACGCATGCCATCTCATACAAGAGGAGCCACCCAACTTTAATATGGTAGTCATTCCATGCATCCCGGCACAAATGGTTTCCGCTAGACACACCTGCGGCATTTCAAATGTACCAAAGACTCAAAAGCAGAAGATTGGGTGAGTGTGGCCATGGCCATAATAGATATTGATATTTGTACTGTATATATCGTGACTCAGCTGCTCTGCTTTGGGCTTGGTCCCGCAAAGGTGGAAGGATGACTTTTGTATCAAGAGTAGCCCTGTGATTTTGGCAGAGCTTGCAAGGGCTTTGGTTTTTTCGCTGGCACCGAGCAAGGAAGGAGTGAGCAGTGCTCGCCCAGGTTTGGGAGTCCCTCTCCCCCATGTTGGAGCCGCGGGAGAGCTGCGCTGCGGTTGCCGTCAACAGCATGTGACTGCCTTGGCTTCCGATCGTATCCTCCGTGCTTTGATTGTGTCGGATGAGTGTGTTGTTTTTCCTTGTTCGGTTGGCGCCCTTTTCAGGATGGTTTAAACAGTTTAAAGGACATCCTCCTTTTTTGGGGTACCCACATTCAGACACATACGCATGTAGGAGTGCGAAGACTTGGCCTGCCGAGGATCTACGTGTTAGGTGGCATCAACGGGGAAGCCCAGTGCCTCAACAGTGTGGAGGGCTTTTCACCCGTCACGGGCATGTCTGGCGCTTGGCAGTACTCCAGGTTGCGGAAGGGTTATTCTTGAGAGACTGCAAACGCCAGCCGCCACTTCTGCTCATGGTGATGGTGATGCTGAGGATCATAGTGATGGATGATAATGATGATGATGATGGTGATGATGATGATGACGATGATGATGATGATGATGATGATGATGATGATGATGATGATGATGATGATGATGATGATGATGATGCATGCGAGGTGGCAAGAAAGAATGGTATTGCCACAGGTTCAGGTCTATGCCTCGACGTCGTGTGTTTGAGTTTGCTTCTGGCAGTTTCACTCAACTCACTGCAGGTGGGAGGCCTTGCCACCCATGCGGCATGTGGCTGGCCTGAGTTTTTGCACTCAATCGGTCAATTCTTACACGCGGTTTGGTCAAATCAACAGTTTTGTATGGTCCTTATGGGAGGGACAGGGGCTAACAAAACTTGCCACCAAAAACCATTGTGACCGTCGCTCATGTCAATGTGGCGGCCGTGCCAAGGCACGCGCGGCCTCAGCAGCAGTGGCCTGCGCTGGGCAGGCAAGCCATGCAGTCCAAGCCGCATGGCATTCTTTGCAAGCGATTAGCGAGTCTCGCTCTTGCAGTACATTTGGCTCAGTTTCCAAATCCGACCTTCTTGTTCTTTTGGTTCCCCAGTTTTACCCATTTGTTGTATCAGTCGAAGGTTTACTTTCCATGTCCAGGTCTTTCGGCAAAGTGAGTTGAAGGCTTGCATGCACAGGTGTACGTGATCGGCGGACGGGATGGCTTCCAGTCGCTGGACACTGTGGAGCGCCTGGCGCCAAGTCTTGTGAGCTTCGTTGTCGGATACGCAGTCCATTCGTTTGGGAACATCAGGAGCTGTAAATTGTTTGAAAAGCCAGGGAGCGGAATCCATTCTTTTTGCCGGGTCCTTTCTGGGAACCTCATTTTCTGGCCATGGCTCCGTCTTGTGTGGATGCAAGGCTTTGATCCGGCCTGTCGTCGCTGGCGATTGCAGCCGTCACTTCGTGGTGCAAGGCGGAAGCTGCTTGTCACGTGAGCTTGCTTTTGCTTTGTGTGAGGCTGGGGGCAGCAGCAGCCGTGTTAGGAGTGCGGATCTACGTTGTGGGTGGGAAGGGCGGCGGCAGGGTGCTGGATTCCGTAGAGCAACTCGAGCATGAGGGGCCTTTCTGGGATGTGGTGCCCTCGTTGCACGCACGGCGGTACCGGGCCGCTGCGGCGGCGGCCCACGGCCGCGTCTACGTGGCCGGGGGCTGCGACGGGTCCTGGCAGACGGGCCTGCGCTCTGTGGAGCGCTACGACCCGGATACGCGGGCCTGGAGCATCCTGGCGCCCCTCCAGGCGCGAATGCTCCAAAGTGCAAGGACGAGAGACTGCAAAATGCGAGAGCCTTTCCAAAGTGGCGAACACGCAAGCAAATGAGGAAGGGGTGAGAGAGTGGCAAGGGGCAAGTGGGGAACCATGAGTGCCAAAGGTGCCCCGCTGGGGCGCTGGTGCTGTGGCCATTGCTGGCGGCTCCGTGTGCGTCTTCGGGGGCTGCAGCAGTGGGGCGCTGGCCTCGGTGGAGCGCTTCGACCCTGCCACGGGCACCTGGGAGCCGCTGCCGCCGCTGAAAGTGGCCAGGAAGTTCTGCGGCGCCGCCACCTGCCGGGACTGACTTCAAAAAGGGGACCCTCAGCACGTTTTGCGAACAGCATGGAGCCAAAAAAAGGGGGAGGCAGGGGACAAGTGAAGAAGCAAAAGGGGTTGCGACTCCGGACGCCTACAGGGCAAGAGCCTGGCCAAAGTTGCTTAGGCCGCATTGTTTTTGCAGTGAGAGAGACAGCCCAATCAACCCTGGTTTGAACAAAGCCAGGGCTGCACTATTTGCACTGGAGTTGAGCTTTGGACAGATTGTGAAATGCAGTTCACCTTAATAAGACAACCAACCTTGCTCTACGTAAGACGATGCCGCGTGTCGGGAGCTTGGCTTGCCGAACTTGCAGTCTGCATCATTACTCGCCTGCGAGGCTTTCGTACATTAGGCACCCTATGCATCAATTTGTTCAGAGTGAGAATCCTGCAATCAGTACACTTTCAGTGTTTCTAACATACTGATTGTAGCATGTCAATGTGCATCGGGATTCTCACGCGGACGAGCAGCGGGCTGCTAAAAGTTCGGCCGTCTCTGGTTTTTGCATCTTCTGAAGCGCATTGTTAGTGTTTCCTCCATGGGCCGGAAGATACGTGGCACTGATCCGTGTTTGGGTGTGGCACCTCACCCGTCTGGACTTCAAGGCGATGAGACTTTGTATGCTTGAAGGCAGCCGCTGCAGCCCCCGGCTCAATTAATTGAATCAATCCACGGGCTGGAGGCTCGTGGTCCCTCTTCCGGGCGGCCAAGAATCGCCTCTTCGGGCGAGTTGTAGCCATTACAATACAAGTCGGGTTAGCGGCGCGATGCCTCTGCTATCCCTCATGGGCTCCAAGCCCAAGTCGAAGTGCAACTTGGCGCAATCTGCTCTGAAGCTGGGCATTTGACGAAGACGTGACAATTTCAGGATGTTTGCTCTTGCGTGTGTGCGCCGCTCTTGTCAGTTGCCGAGGTGGGTTGATTCTTCCTGGAATGGTGAAGCCATCCTGTGGAGACACGCCACCATCAGATGATGAAGCAGAGCCGCAGCCGCCTGGCAGAACGAAACTTGGGTTTGGTGTTTGGATTCCTGCCATTCAGACAGGACATTTCTTGATGCATGTTGCGATCTGAGGTCTCAAGTGAGTACCAGCATCACATCTGCTTCGCACCATTCGTTGGCATCGTTGGAGTCGAACCTCAGCTGACATTGGCTTTCTAATGATGCTTCATTGTGCTTGATTTAGCCCTAGCCCAGATGAACAAGAAAGAAGTCATGGTTGTGGGGATGATGCGCAACGTGCTGCACAACAGCTTTGAAAAAACTTTTTTGCCATGCAACTGCAGCAAACTTCATGTTTTTTTTTTTTTTATTTTTTTTTTTTTTTTTTTTTTTTATTTTTACAAAGGACAGATAGGCATTTGGGGCCTTGTGGCTATCCCTGAAGCGTAGATTGGCTCAGCCCCTCCATTGAGTTTCACGAATATCTGTTGGTAGAGTTTATTCTGAGTGTGCTTTGGTTCTTCTTTTCCAGAGCAGCACCCTGGCGCATTTCGCAAAGATGATATCCCTATGCTGGATGCTTTGGCAATGACTGAGCCGGTTTCGGAATACTTAGTACGGTTTGACCCCCTTGGAATAATATGCTTATCATTCGAGTTGGGACCCCCTTGCGGCAAAGATCGGCAAGTAGTCTATCTATGACATCAATCGTGGAATAATCCCGGCTATTCTTCTGGAAACACTCGAAGGAGATTGCCAGAACCTACCGATACGTAGTGTCCGTGCAACAGCCAAACAGGACGGCTTATACGTCGGGGGATGTTTGTGTGACACCTAAAAACAAAAGTTTCTTTCCTTTACAATGGAAAATATATATATATATATACAGGAATATATATATATATATATACATGTATGCATATGTATGCGTGTATACATATATATATATATATATACATATATATATATATGAGCCACGGACAAAACACACGAAGACCACTTTATCAAGGCGGGGTACGTTTTTGCATAACACATGCCAAAACCATGGAAAACGATAAGGTCTCCCCCAAAAACGATAACCCTTAGCTAGCACACGGCTCTATAATAACCCCTGCAGTTGCAACTTAGCTAGGGTGGGACCCTTGCGTGGCCACCGTAAAACGAGAAGGCGAGTCGCCACTTTCGAGCTGGAGCTGCCAATGTGTGCTTCGTGCACTAGACTTGTACTACAAAGTTGCGATTTTCGAGCTGGAGATGCGGAAGTGTACTTCGCGTACTGGACTTGTACTACAAAGTTGCGATTTTCGCGCCGGATCTGCCAAAGCTCGAAAACACTGTAAAACGATAAGGTCTCCCCCAAAAACGATAACGTTCAAGAAAGTACTAGGGCCAAGTAAGGTGTTTCGTCCGCTCCTCATATATATATATATATATATATATATATCTCTCCCGCAAGAGAATAGACTGGGTTCCGTGTTCCTCTGAGTAGAAGCCTTGATGGTGCGGACTGCCAGTCGGGGTTGTAGGGCCACCCCTGTGCGTCGTTGATGTTGAGCCTCGCAGTTTCGGCCTGCGCGTTTGAGAGTGCTACTCAACGAGTCCTCTTGCAAGTCTTCCAATGGACTTTTTCAACTTCTATTTATGCCAAGACAAAATAAATTGGATGCTTGTCGTTTGACGCACTGTGCCACTTTGTTTTGAGGTCGTGCCATGGCATGGCGAACTTGGGTCAGGCCTCGTGCTGTTGGTTCCGTTGAGTGCTTTCTAGAACTTTTGTGCCAGGGTGTATGGTGGGTCGGCTGCTCCGACAACCAGGAGGCTGTCCAGCCATGTCAGGAAAATTCAAATGTATTGTATTCGTTGGCCATTGAATTGGGGCCCATGGCTTCAGGTACCCGGTCCAGCTGGAATCACCCCGCCACGGCCCAAGGGGTGCAGGCCAGTGGCTGCAGTCGATGCCTTGATCCGCCTTGGCCAAGGGAAATGCTGCCTAGCGCTCTTGAATCAAACGCGCAAGTCTGCATCCCAGCCGTGATTCTCGTCGTGAAGCGCGCACATGCATAACATGCCCCATGATGTGGTCAAGGATGTCATGGAATCACTGCAGCAGTGTGCCGGGGACTGAGTCACTGCTTGGTCTGCTTGTTGTTTGTTTGTGTGGATTTTGCATAAGTCTGTGCTCGGTTTCAGTGTGTGGACTCATTGATCATGTTGCATGGCTGCCTGGAGGCATTGACTGGTGATGGGGAGAGTCGCAACGGGTCATTGCGTGCCTTCTATCCAGAGGCCTTGCAGTCATCTCGTGTTACCATCTTCATGGACCTTGGTGAGGGGGTGAATAACAACGCTGTAGTGTCGTGTGTACCGCAGAAAGATAGGGGGATGCTGTTGAGCTATGTTTTAACTTCAATGCAGGAGATGGAATGCTTGGGACGGCTGAAATGGGATGGTTCCACGCTGAGTTGTTGAGCTGCAGCCATGCAGCTGCAGGTCATGGCTCTTTCATGGAGTTTGGAAATTGCGCCTAGCCTGTCCAAGGTGATGGACACTACGTGCTGGCTCCCTTTCCTGGTGATCACCCACCAACCCTTGGCCAGGCAGTTCACAAGTTCACGCTTCAGTTGGTAAACCAGTGGTGTGACTCTACACAAAGCCATGTCTCCGGGACTTCGCCATGGCGCTGCGCAGGTGATGTCCTTCCTGAAAATGGTGGATGCCGCCGTGTCCAAGAGCAAGATGGTGGTGTTGGTCACGACTCAGCGGAGGCTGTAAACAATACTGTGCGAGCATGGAGGGCGTTTGAGAGATTCAATGCATCTTAGCCTTGCTTGTATTGGGCCTTAGGGCCTCGGTGAAAGCGCGAGAACCGCCTGACATGTGAGGCGAGCAGTCACCGCAGCATTAGCAGGCGCTCTTTTGGTCCTTGCCCGAGGTTTTTCACCAGAGGCGCGCCAGTTCTCCAAAGGGCAATCTGCATTGTTCACTGAAGAGACTGCCAGGAAGCCTGGCAACACATTCACCCGGTCTATGGACTCCCAAAGGAGGATCCCAAGGCAAGACCGCTCGAGCGAGACTGATGAGTCGAGATCTGCCTTCGAAACTTGCAGGTTGCCTGGGATCGATTTCCTCCTCCGTTCTCACACAGTGGCCGGGATCCGAGGGTGGGTCCTATGAAGGTCAAGGCTCAAGCAAGGACCTGTGAAGAAAACCATTTTGTTGGGGATCTGAAAGGTAAGGAGTGCAAGCCTTGGGCAACCTGCAGGTGAGACAGGTCCTTCCTCCTTGACAGTGTTCGACTGCCTTCGAGGCTTATGGCAGCAGAGAGGGAGAGTGAGAGAAGCTTGCATGCTTGCGTGCCGCGTCTGGATGTCTAGAGAGCTTGCAAAAAAGGTCAGACCGTTGCATGTTCAGGACTCGCTGTGGCCAGGGAAAAGAATTGGCTGGAGGACGTGCTGGTTGCGTATCCCTTCGTGCAAGTTGTTGCATTTGATTTGCGAGCGAGCGTCAGAAATGTAGTGTCCACCCGCTGAAGGACTACAGACTCTTCGATGTAGCAGCTTGGAAGATGATGCGCGAGAAGTTTGATGCCTCATGGCTTATTCCAGGAGCGCTGAAGTAGATGCCACATGTGTAGTATGTGAATGGTGTGCGGCACAACCAAGGTTGTGTGTGGGGGGGTGGGGGGTGGGGGGTGGGGGTTGGTGGCTGGTTTGGGGGAATTCCCTATGGTCCACGCGCATTTAGGGGGACTTGCTTTGGGCACGCAGCGAGTACGTAGGGCTCCTTTTTTTTTTAAATGAGGGTGAACATTCTTGGACAGTGATTTTTGCGATGGCTCGTCAAACTGCAGCACGTGCCAGAGAAGAACCGAAAACTCCAAGACCCCAAACTGTGCTGTTTTGGGCACGCGTAGCCAGGGCAAGTGCCAAGATGCGAAGTGTTCTTACATGAATGCCCGTGTGCATGAGCTCCGTTATTCCATAGATACGGAACAGTTTTGGGGCCCGAAAGGATAACTTATCCGTATCAAAGAGCCTGCGGCTCAGAGAATATTAGCTTTCCCATTGTTCATCCTGTGACCATAGCATCAAACTTCAAAGGCCACTCGTCGCATGACATGTTGACTGTACTCGAGACGCGCGCGTGTTACCAATGTGTGAGACTTCAAATTCCATTCACTGAGCACATCGAACATGTCCATGTAAATCGCCCCCAGATTTAAATTCGAATGTGTCACAACTGTCATTCAGCATGAAACTCATAAGCCGAGGAATGTATTCCACCAGTGAATGTGTCGGATGCATCGCATGTATACTGACATCTTAAGCTCATGCATTCGACGGATTCTGTAAACAAGTAATGCACCATGGTGCGCGCATAGTCTTGGTGCCATCCTCCGGGCCATATGTCATGCATTGAACGCCGCAAATTCTTTGATCATTGCAATCCATCAAGACCATATCTCAGATATTATTCATAGGACACATATAACTCAAATAATTCAAGACACCCGATCAGTATGAGCGCAACTGAACAGTCACATAGGATATCGGGGCGTGGAACCAGGACCAACATTCTGCCGTTTGAAATGGCAGCATTGACCATTCATCGCAATAGAGCAACGTAATGTGAATATCATTCAAATATGTATTGATTCTCCCATGTAATTCCAGACATGTAGATCTTGAAGAATAGGTGAACATACGGCCCCCCAGATTCATCAAGCCTGCTTCCTTGGCGCATCACCGATTTTCTTGTAACTCTCATTCTAAAGTCCAGGTCGAGTTCCTCTTGGGTTCGACCCGAATTCGGTACCTTCATAGCATGCCGGTTGGGGAATTCAATTCCTTTTCAGAAGCGCCGACTCAACAGTGGTGAGTTGACCTCTGTAGCCCAAGCCAACTTCTCCGCATAGAATTCTCTCGCAATGGCGCGTCTGAATGCATCCAAGATCGCCCCAAAATTCATGGAGATTTCGCCCAATTGTGAGAAATCCTTCGACACACTAGTGTCGAATGGATTCTGCAATATCTTCTTCAGCAGGCTGTCAAAGCACGGATCGTTGACCGAAGTTGGAGGATCGGTCTTTCGCAATTCGTTGGCACTCGGCGAAGTACGTACCATCTGACTTCTTCTTCACCTTCACAGGGCTAGAAGCCGGTGCTCTTGCCCTCCTGCCTCCTCGAGCTTTTACACATATGCTGTCTTCTGATCTATGCAATAAAATCGGGCTGGTAGGTATACTTTTCACTCCTTACCAAGGGCGGCTCGTTCTCGACAAATGCCGTTCGCGACGCCAGGGCCGGCGTCGATGGCAGCGGGAAAAGCGACAGTTGACTGTACAATTCTTTGCGCGCAATGCCGATAGCTTCCACAGGGAATCATTCTGTGTGGCAAGGACCCCGGCTCCTTTGAGACCTCCACCAACTTGTCCGCGTGGATGGCCAGGTTCCGTTGTGCTCCTTGAAAACGATCTTCGCCAGTGATAGTCACGATGACACTTCCACTCACGGCATTGGACAGTTTGATAGGCACTCTCCGGAGTCGTCCGATGTCAAAATCAGGACCGATCATTCAGGCATTATGCTTCTGAATGAAGCAGTCGCACAGCGACGCCCAAATATGCCCGGAAGCGGGCCTGTCAGTCTGAGCTGGCTGAGATTCGTGGTGTGGTTGGTCAACTTCTCGACCCTCTCGGCCAACCTGGTTGACCTGTGCACGTATTTCTACCGAGCAGCTCGTCCTCCCTTTGGACCACTCTCGAATGCAGACGCCATCAAGCGCGGTGTCGTTGTGGCGCTTGAGCATTTCCTTTATCCTTTTGTCCGTGTTTCTTTCTGCGTTGACCAATGCCTTTGGCGATGCCGCGCCTGGCAATTGCCCTGAAAGCATGCGTCCGCTCCTTGCACAAACGTATGCATACAGCTGCAACCATGCCAGACTGTCCTTGGACGGGTACGCAAGGATGATCGGTTCGCCTTTGGTGCGTGTATTCCGGAGATATCTCTCAAAGAATGTTGCACCACGCCCACTTCGAGTTGGAATGGTCTGGGTCGAGCTCTGGACTACAATAATCCAGTGCAATCAGCATTCCCGTTCTGAGATCAGTTCTGAATTTTCCAGTCGTCTCGTCATAGCCATGCCTGTCTCCATTACCGTGTAAGAGTCACAGGATTGGGCAACCGAAGGCAAATCCTACCATCGCTGCCCTTCTTAGTCAAATCCAGGATCGATCTGATGTCCTCGGTCGGCGATGTTGTGATCCACCCGCGGACGGTGTGGGCTTTTTGACATTGCGTAACCGCCACGCAGGCAGCTAGCTCAGTGTCGAGGAAGCTCTCGCTCAGCTCCGCCAAGGCACTTTGAAGGGGAAACTTTCCAAGCCATGTCAGTGGGTTGAGGGCGACGAAGCTCAAACCCATGTAGCCAGTTGGACCATTTGTTTCAATTGTAATCTTCGTTGGCTCCATAGAAATGCCGTAGACGTCAATGGCCGGCAACTTGTCGCTCCGCAGTTTGTCGTCCGGGACACCCTCAAGTCCACTTCCTGCATGATTCGGACGTGATCCAAACACCGCGCGTAGTCTCCATAGGAAGCAAACGTATCCCATGGTCGGAGAAGCTGCTTACTCGGCGTTGGAAACAGGCCTCTTGTCAATGTTGCTGACAAATGTTAACCAATATTGCTCCGATGGTGCAGTCGCTATCACTTCGTCAAACCGTGAAGGCCAAATTCTTGAGCAACGGCTTCAACTCAAGGTGTACGCTGCGGCCCAGTCGGAATCACACAATTTGGCAGCCGAACATCACTCTGTTCCTGTAGCAGAGTGGACGTCAACCCTCTTTGCCATCTCGTCCTGTCAGTCGCTGTGCAGCCTCTGTGTCACCGTGTCCAGAGACATGTTGGCGCCATGCAAAAGATGGCATCCACAATGACGATTCCGGGATGGTGAAGATCAAGATCCGGAGACCGGAGACAGCTTTCGATTGAAGACTACACGTCCTCATGGCTTCGCACCAGAGTGGGCAGCGATCCAGAATGCACTCGAAGTGGATGACGAGGGCAAGATACCCTCAAATTTTGAGATTCAAAGCGCGACGAGAAAGAGACGAAAGAAGCTGCGCCGGCAGAGACTTCGTATTCATCGTCACCTGCCAGTCAATCACGTTTGTCAAACGGTTCCGCATCAATGCCAGCCTCGATGCCCTCTATGCTTGCCAATTCTTCGCTTGTGGTGGAAAGCTTAGCGGTATTTTCAGTACCATTGTCCTTGTTTGGCGAGGAACTCGCAACCCTTTCGAGCTTGTCAAGTTGAGTTCAGCGCCCGCAAAACTCGCGAGGGGCCAGGCTCTATACTTCCTTGCAAAATGAAGTCCTGCGCGTAAAGCAATCCAGCGAATGTGCCGGCCTCTCCACAAGGTTCGAGCCTCTCCCCGGTGATCAGTCGAGCGTCGCTTGGCTTGAAGTGATCGCCGTGTAATCTGTGCCACGCACTGGAGCCAGTACCTCCTCCACCTTTTTCAAGTGGCACAGTGTAGGGATGGCCGGTACCCAGTAGCATATAGGAAACCCCGCGCAAATAGAACCAAACATGATGAATTGGCTCGTTGGCTCGGCCAGAGCTTGTTCTGAGCCTTTCACGTCCTTGAGAAGTCATGGTTGATCTTAAGGTCCGAACATGCATTGAGCAACTCCGGGGCGTCATCTAAGTCCGCTTGTTTTATCCTTCGCTTTCCCATTAAATGCTTAATAGCCCTGATGATGGTGTCGGAGATCTTCCTGCCCGTGGGATATGCCATTGTCATCCCAACGTAGATGTCGCGGATGACTACGACGTACTTGTTGTGCACTTGCTTCGACAAGATCGAAGAGGTCGCCCAATACTTTCACCTCTCTTTTGAGCGCTCCCGATGGAGGTCTGGCATGTCTCATCTTCGCCTTCATGCACGATTCACAAACAGGATTGCTGAATTTGTCGTCAGAGTGCTCGCATCATTCTTGAACACACCGATCTTCTTTTGGGCCACGAGCGTCCAAGTCAGCTTCCGGTTCTTCCTCCCTTGTTCGACCAGGTCCGAAGGCGAGAGCTTCGCAGTCAGCTTCGCCATCCGGGGTTCGCCCATTGCGAACATCCTTCACAATGTTCCCTGTCATGAATGGCAGTTTGCCACCAGTGAACTGAATAGCCCAACTTCATGCATCTCCTTCCGATGGATAGTGCCGTCGGGGTTTCTTCCGCGTGACAGGTTCCACGGCTTCATTGAACTCCTTCACAGAGTATTTCACCGTGTCGGAAGTAGACGTGGTGCCGTTCGCTGTCTGGAACACAATCTCATCGTCATCTTGAACAATAGGAGCTCCCAAGCTTCAGCATTGAACCTGCCGATCAGGGCCGCACATCTCCATCAGCCGCTTCACGTTTTGTCCCTGATTCGCGGATAGTCTCGTACTTGTTGGTTCAACGTCATTGCCGCACATGAGATGCATGCTTTGGAAAGCACCTTAAGCATTCCTGCTTGCCCTCTGACAATCACGAAGTGGGATGGCTTGGTTAGAAGTTCCCCAGCTTCAACATGAACTCCCCAGGTCTAAGTGGTCTAAGTGGTCTAAGTTGAAGTTTGAGCGACCTGGATCCCATTCCTTCGGCTAGCCCGGAATAAGTGTTTGCCCATTTGGTCTTTCAGTTGCAGTCTTTTGGCTTGCAAATCTGTATGTTGCGCCAATATCCTTGATTTTGTTATGGTTTTGGGCAATATCCTTGATTGGATTTTGAAGACCGTACAGCCTTGGTGTTTGAGGATTGCGTCTTTTCAGTCTGAGCGTTTGCCAGGAGAGATCCTTGCCATGGCCAACCCATGGGGGACATCACAGAATCCTCGCTTTCCAGGGCTCCTGAACAGAGGAGACCGAGCTCACGCTCATAGCAACCAATGCTTCGCAAGTAAGGGGATACTCCACGCACAGATTCCGCCAAGAGGTATGTCTTTTACACTGCAGGCTTGTTCTTGACACAACATCCCTCGATCCGGCGAGCTGTGAGTCGTTCTAGCTCTCTTTCTCTCTTCTCTTTTTTCTTCTTCTTTCTCTCCTTCATTTTTTTACCTCTCTCTCTCTCTACGCTCTACTATCTCTCTCAGTCTCTCTCTCTCTCTCGCTCGATTCTTTCCTTCCCTTTTATTTGTCTCTCTCTCTGTCTATTTTCCTTTCGCTCTCGTCTCTCTCTTTTTCTTCTTTTTTCTTGGTCTCCTCCTCTCTCTCTGAAGCGTGTCTAATATCAAATCGAGAAGCACTTCTCTTTTAGCAGATTTCCCCTCTCTCGCACAGGACCTGCAGAGTCAATGCCTTCCAGTCAAAGCTCGCTTGGGCCTCAGTGATTTTGCATTTGCTCCCATCGTAGCATTCTGGACATGCTCCATGCAGCTTTTGGTTTTGGCTTGTGGTAAACGGTTTGGAGCCCAGGCCGGATCTTATGGGCGGCGTGGTGGCATTTGTTTTATTGCATTTGCATATTTGCGTATAGGTTTCATGCATTGACCAAGGCAGCATCAGCCAGACTAGCAGCTTCCAGTCCTCGTCTCACTTGGATGCATGGCCTGAAGACACCTGTGAGGCGGGTCAGGCGGGTACTGGATGAGGGGTGAGGGAGGGTGTTCATGAAGCCTTGCCTGGCTCGCTGCGCAAATGAGTGAAGTGCAGGCTACAGCAGATCTGGAAACTATACTGCTTAGCCAAGGACTCGCCTGAACATTGCATTTGGGAGTTCATGACTGGAGATTGTCTTGCAACTGATGCATCACGCAGGAGGCGATCTAGGAACAGACGAAGAGGTTTGCAACTCTGTCAATGCAGCAGTTGCAGCTGAGAATGCAGGCGCCGGATCTCATTCAAACACTTGGGAGCACGCTTTGCCGTTTGCTACAACGACTTCCCCTTTCATTGGACGGCTTCATGCACATGCACGCTGCTAGCACACGAGAGCAGACTGTTTGCCCGAAAGCTTTGCCAAAAACTGTCCTGCTTTGCCATATCATTCACGCTGAGATTCTACTCATGTTTACTTGAACATGCAGATGCGCTCACGGAAGCAAGTGTAGCCGATATCACATAGCTCAGGACTTCTCACACGGAATTGGATGCCAGAAGTCTCACGGTAGACTTCCTATGGCGGCATTGGAACTTCGCATGTAATCTCCTCCTTCACGTGTTGCTCCTCCTAGACCCTTGCCTTCTCCTCAGACATTCCCTTCACCATCCACGTGCAATTTCCTCATTTGCTGGCCAACTTCCTGGTACCGTATATAGGAAATTCTCGGAGAGACCGCAAAGCTTACACCCCATGGACTAGGGGTGCTGAACTTCTGAACGCACAAGGTTGCATTGGTTCAACCAGGCCAGGTGGATGAACAAACCGTTTCAAGAACGCGTTGGCGATGGGCTAAGCTTGATGCCATGCTCCGAGAGTCGCGAATAATCATTGCGGATGCCTTGCGATGTTATTGGGTCATTCAGACTTGGGCTCGCAATGTTGTGTTTTTGTGTTTTGGGTCCATGTCCGTGTCTTCCTATCTCAGACTACCTGCTTGGGCATGCCTTTCAGCAGCGCATACTGTTCGCCAACGTGAAAGCCTGTTTGTCCGTGGATTGCCGATTTTCTTCTGGCTGTCCAGGGCAAGCCGTATCATGACCGTGCAATCCTGAATTTGTAGTTCAATCAATCAACATTGCGTCATGATCTTTGATCCAAGTAGTTAGGCATTGCTTGTCGCACATAACTCGCACATCCAGGCTTCTTCATGTTTTGCGACCCACCGTGCTTTGGACACTGCCAGAAAGCCTCCACGACAGTCAGTTTGCGGCCATACCAAGTCTCGTGTGTGCAGTGCCTTCTTTCGTCTCGATGTTCGGCCTGTGAACCGAGTTGCAGCGTGGGAACGGCAAAGAAGTCGGCCGACGATGCGCTTTGAACCTGCCGATGTAATCAGTCAATGCCAATGACACTAGCCGGAAACATTGTAGCAAGAAACCTTTGCAGCTGAGGGATCATAGTTTCGTAGTTTGTTTCTCAGTGCGAAGTACCACTGTGCCAGGCTCATGGAAGTTGCCATTTTCAAGGTCGGCTTCCTGGTATAGCGAAGGGTTTCGGATTGTTTCCCTTTCTTTGGCTTTGGTGGAAAGTGCTGGAGCCTACTCGTGCCACGCAGCGAGTTGCGAGGTCCGAAGAGTTCTCGCGCCTGGAAGCTGACACTTTTGTCTCCTTGCTATTGCGGAACAGCATCCAGGAGGTTGCCAGGCGAGCGCTGTGCCACCCTCACCTTTATTCTTGTGATGAACCGTGTGTGCGCCATTCCGAAAGGCACCTAGAAACTGCCTTTTGTTTTGCAGGCTGAACTACGATGCTGAATGCCCTGAACAGAGGGGCTATGAGAAGGCGCGATACAGGCTAAGTCCTTGCATGCTGGCTAGACAGCAGGCAACGTTAATGCCTCCGGCGCAGACCGCTGACATTTCAGGCTTGATTTCGAATATGTGTCTTACAGGTACAGTGCATGTGCACAAAACCTAGATTTGGGGGAAGGATGTTGGTTCATGTCTCTTTGCAATGACAATACTCATTTTACAACATGTGCTTCACACACGAGTCACCCACCCGGGTACTTGGAGGGTAGTGTTGGTTTGGCTTTGTTTGCTCATGTTTTTTTCCTGAGGATGCGTGTAGTTTTGTTTGCAACTTCCTATATTTTCTTTTGGAAAGGCTCTTGCAAGTGATGGATGGGGTGCTACTGTTGCAATCAAGCCCTTTCCTGATGCGACTTGGTTTGTTGTGGAGGGGTGGGGTGGGGTGTGGTGGGGTGGGGTGGGGTGGGTGGGGTGGGGTGGGGTGGGGTGGAGTGGGGCAATGGTGATGCTCGCGGGACTGCAGCACTTTGGCAGAGCATGTCGGGCGGGGCGGGGCAAAAGGTTTTATGCCTGCGTCCAAGCCGCGTGGCATTTTGCTGCGTTGGCTTTGGGGCCTCGCCCAGTGTGTGGTTGCGGCTCTTGTGGAAAGAGCCTGCGGGTAAGCGCTGCCGTTCGAGGATGTCATGCTGTCTTAACCTTATGCCGGCGAGTCGGGTTTTGCGACTTGCGCGGAGAGTCAGGCAGTGGCGCTTCTCTGGGCCACACACACTTGGGTCTCCGAGCCTGAGGGGCGCTTGGCCAGCTTGAGCTGCAAGTGGAGGAGGCGATGACGTCTGCGGAGCCTCCTGAGAAGCCGGGAGGAATGGCGCCAGAGGCAGGGGCTCTGCGCTTCCCACCTGGCGCAGCAGCTTTCGCTCACTCACTCACTCACTCACTCACTCACTCACTCACTCACTCACTCACTCACTCACTCACTCACGCACGCACGCACGCACGCACTCACTCACTCACTCACT